TTGCTTATTGTTTGGAGCATCTTTACAATAACAGTTGCTATATTTACAATGCCCAGCTAAAATACAAAGCACAACCATGAATCTAATATTAAAATATTGGATGTATTTGGCTCAGTTATATGTATCTTTTAGCAGTACACTTGCATAGTTTTACAGCATTGGAAATAGCTTAATACAAAGTTAATTCGGTTAAATCCACTTCCACTTAAACATCAACCCGAATTGCTGCCTGTGTGTCTGTAACAGTTAGCTAAATCTGCTAATCAATTAGCTGATCTGTCAATAAAATGTAAAAAAGAAAAATGTGAAAAAAAAAGGAAAAAGTATGTTGGTATCATGCCCCTCCAGCCATTTTCCTTTTTTCTGCCTTTTTCCAGCCCAGCCCATCACAATATAAATCAAACCAAATGAATAACAATTGTGCTAATGTCAAGCTACACTATACTCTACTCAAACATGCTGAATAGCTTCTATTTTTGTTCTCCACCAATCCTACACATGCAAACCTTACACGTTTTTTTATTTTAGCCCAAAATGCAGCTAGAAAAAAACAATAAAGTAATTAATTATTTTACAATTTTTTAGGCAAAATAAGACAAAATTACCAAGGGAAAAAAAAGCACTTTGTTTAATGTAAACAGAAACCAAGATTATAGTGTGCTGGACTGGACTGGATTGGACTTAACTGAAAAGGGATTTTTTTACCTTTTCCTTTGGCAGGATTTTTTCTTTGAAAGCAAATTAGTTTGTCTAGGCAAATATAAAATAGTTTAAAATAAAGTGGAGTAAAATAGAATAGAATAGCATAAATGACCACTTACTTTTGTTAATAGGAAATTCATACTTCATTTTTAAAAACAAAAATTTAATCAATTTAATTAGCCAAACATAATATTGCAAAGTCAGAAAAAATGCAATTTTTTGCTAGCTGTATAAAGCTAAACTGTATTGTGTTTTGTTTTGTTTTGTTCTGTCATGTTATATTATATCATGTTATGTCATGAGTGAGCTGTGTAAATTATATATAGTTCTAGCAAACTGTATACATGGTATAATTATTCGTTATCCATCTCCAGGAGACAAACCACTGCTTATAATATAAGATCAGGACAAGAATTGGCTTATAAATAAAGGGAAAACAATGTTTGAGCTTCAGGTTGGAGCTCAGCAAAGCAAGTGTGCCCATTCTTATATATTTTAAAACTCAATACTTTTATAAAAAAACTATAATGACTAATGTTAATTGGCAGCTATGCATAAATGCTGGGCTTTAAGTATAACATTGTGGACAGTCCTGTTTAGGTTGCTGATTTTTATGTTTATAAAAAAAATTACCAACAATTTGAATCCAAAATTGAGTGCCTCTTTAGAAAAGTATTTCTCATTGAATATTAAATGCAGCTTGGTATATATAACACTCGTTTCTATATATGCCATGGTTATATTTCTGTAACATTTTTTTGTTAAAATTCACAACTGGTAAATTGCAGAAATTGAAATAGCTAAACGTAATTATTGCACAAAATTTATAATTGTAAAAATTTGTTTAATAAAATTTATTAAAACAACAAGCTAAATATACAAATGCAGTAATATTCAACACTACACGCAACACACATTTGCATAATATAAAAAAAACCTTTACAACATTTGGCGACCCCTATACAATACACTTACCCACCAAAAGTGCGGGCAAAAAAAATGCCAAAAAATTGCCCTCTGCCAGAATCGAACTGACGACCTCATGCTTTCTATGCTCGTACTGAACGTACGAGGCACGCGCTCTACCGCTGAGCTAAGAAGGCTCAAATTATGAGCTAATTCATGTTGTTGATAACGGGTTCATCTAACAGCTATCTAAGCAAATGTTAATCAACGTTTTGATTTTACATGTTTGTTGTTGTTGGGAATTTGTTGCAACACTGTTTGTTACTGGTTCGGTATCTGCTTGAAAAATGCATCAAACTTGGCGCACGCTTCTTCCTCTAACGATACCCTTTGGGCTTGGTTGGTTTTGTCGCCTGTGGACCGAGCTCCTTTTAGTATGGACCAATACCACATACCTGATTACTACTGATCTTGATCGGGAATATTGGCTTGGTAAAGTAAAACACCATTGACGTGCGTAGCCTTGACGGCCTTCTCTTCGCTGCTCCTTTCTATGTACTTGTTTCACGCCTTCGTTTGCGCATATCCTTGACACCGTCCAGAGTCCAAATCTGACCCGAATTCGCAAATGCGGCCATATTTTTGCAGGCCCTTTCGCAGAAATTACCAACCATATATAGGATGCCACACACACGAACGACTATCGAGCTGACCTGTGACCTGGCTAAAAGCGACGGGTGTGCGGACTGAGTCGACTAACTAAACCTATCGTCTGAGCCAAAAAGAGGGTAGAACTAACAACACCTGGTCGATGTGTGTTGTTGTACTTTGCACTTTTATTTGCATCTCAGAGCTCGCCGTAATTTTGGTTGCTGATATTTGCAGAACCCCGCGCCCGTATGCCCAAGCGCGTTGCTGTAGTCATCTATAAAAGTTGTGCGGCCACTGGTGTTAGGACATTGCCGAAGAGTTTTTGAAGCTTCTGCTTAATAAATGTTGACTTTTAGTTTTATTACAAGTTTTCTAGCATGAGCAAGGGTTTCAGAAAAAGGAAGGAGTTTGTTGTTGAACACGTTAACAAAAAAGCAAGGAACATATTCATGATAGCTAGAATTGCGCTGGGGCATGACATACACAACAGAGTACATGACAGAAACATCATTGCACATACTATTGTTTTGTGAAATACGTTTCTGTGGCAGCAATAAATGTCACTACCCTGGTTGAAATATACGAGTCATTTTACTGTTACCACTTTGCTGAATACCGCACTTTGAGCAAAAGTTTATTGCAGTAGGGTTACCAAATGCACCGGCCTTGAGAACAATGTTGCTATGAACTTCTATAAAAGGTAGTGCCACTACAAGGCGTGGTCGCCAGACATTGTCTATTTGTTATGTTGTGACAAGTTTAGAAAGCTGACACCAGAGGTGTCGGCAGCATTGGCCATACCAGATGTGAGACCAATGGGCATTCCCACTGATAATACCCTAAAATGGGATGGTTGGATCAAATTTTATTTGCTGCTTGTTTGTTTGAAACTCAAGTCAAGCATGCCCTTACACATTTACTGTTTCTCTGCGCTTATACATGCTAGCATATATTCAATATTTTTCATTGGCTCCCCACACGATTAACTGGTATTAAATTAATTTTGGTTCGGACAGATGGAAAGGCAAAAAGGCAGAAAGGCAGAAAAGCGGAAAGGCGGAAAGACGGAAAGACGGGAAGACGGACAGAGAAACTCTTTTCACAGACTCTCCCATAGAGCCGCTTAAGGATAGTGGGAGTTCCAAAAAAACGAGTGTATATGACGATTTGAGTATTAAATGAAAGCTGAAGAGAAACAGAAAGTTGTTGCTCACGCAGGCTGCGATATATAACTGCTGGTCAGATTACCTCACAACAGATAGGGCTGCGGGAATACCTATCTTTCTGGTTATCTATACCAATATTTTTAACTACCATTTTATAAAGCCGTTTTAAACGTTTACTTGCGCTGAAACCCATCAATACAAGCTGTCAATTATCTGTCTACAAAATGACCAACCCTGCGGAACCTAACCATGACCTCAGCGCGAGACACCTGACCAGCGCTATGATTTCTACCAACATGCTACCGGGCGTGACGACCAGTCGAATCAATGTGGGGGTGCCGATTTCAACTCTACCACCTGAAGATTTCATGCCCCTACATGGCATTACAAATGCAACAGTGCAGTCACCCGATACGGGGGCCACATTCCTGGCCAAAGCTGGTTGTGAGAAGCCCAAAAAGCCTTTTTGGAAGATTCCACCTAGCAAAGCCTCGGGCTCAGGCAGCTCCAGTCGCGCCCCAGCAGTATCCTCGAAACGCCGCTTTGGATCCAACAGGCTGTCCGCCATGAAAAAAGCCGGCAAATTCAAGCCGCTTACGAGTGTTTTTCAGACGCAAGCTACCAAAGCCTCGGGCTCAGGCAGCTCCAGTCACGCCCCAGCACTTATATTGCCTGCAAAACGGAACTGGTCCCAGACGCTTATGACTGCAGCGCACAGAAGCTCCCCAGATGGCCTCTGTCTCGACATCCTGAAGCGCGTCAGAACTACTAGTGGCCCAACCCACAGGAAGCTCCAGACAACCCTACATGACTACCAACGAATCCGCAGTGTCGACTACCGCAGCGATATTGAGCTTGAGGTTATCGAAATTAGCAGTGATAGCGACATGGATGATGGACTCGTGTCAACTCCCGACCTTGAGTCAGATGACGACCGGTTCACCCGTATCACAACCGTGGCGACCTGCAAGGACAAGGATATACTCGTAGGCTTACCTCCAATGCCTGAACTGGCTGCTGTGTACTCGGTTACCGCGCGGGGACGGCCGGCCACGCCAGAGAGCAGCTCGGCCCAGTTGGCCCACACCGATGCAGCAGAAGCAAAGCTTGCCCATACCACAATGTCTGACATCCATGACCAGCTTGGGCATGCTGAAGACGACAAGGCCATCCCCGACAATGCTGCGGGTGACGACAAGAGCATCCCTGACAATGCTGCGGGTGACGACAAGAGCATCCCTGACAATGCTGCGGGTGAAGATGCCCACGATCCTCTCTTCATTCCGCCGACGCCTGAGAGCATCCCTACTGCAATCCCGCAGCTGACAATTATTAGCCAGAATATGCGTGGGATGGGGCTTTACACAGACGACCGAAACGCCAAACTTTTCAAAATCAAAACCACTGTCGAGAAGTTTGCGCGCGGAGCTGATGTTATATTTGTGCAGGAACTCAAGCGGTCTGAAGGAAACCCGCCGGATGGTGACCTTGTACGCACGTTTGATGATTACATCATATACACCAGCAGACCCGCTGCTGGATGCGAATTCGACTGTGCAATCTTAGTGCGTAACGGATTTCCGCTCACGACCCTGCAGGAAGCCACCAACACAGTCCAACGTGTGCTGGTTACCGTACCACAACTCGGAATACTGCTAGTAAACATTCACGCGCCTGCCTCCTCTGGTCAAGGGCGCAACGAGTTTTATGATAAACTTCTCGCCCTGCTCGCTGCATACCAGAACAGCGGATGGCGGATCATCCTTGGCGGCGACTTCAATGTTGCCCCATTTCTGTGCGACCGGTCCACGCAGACACGATACAGTCAGAGTGACCTACGACTGATACATACTCTGCGCGAAGCAATTGGACTAACAGACGTCGTCCACAATGCGCACGAATGGGATGTGGCCCGCCACGGCCCGCGGACTGAGTGTTTCACGCATTATTTCACCAATATAATCAATGGTGTCAAGTCTGAGACGCCCTCCACGCGCATCGATTACTTTCTGGTGGACAGTGCTCTGGCGCTGATCTCAGGCATTCGTGTGGATGCGGTTAAAGTCGGTACCGAAAAGATACTGCTCGACCATAAACTGCTGCGGCTTGACATCCCTGGGACCACGGAGCAGTCCTTGCCAGTGCGTAGAGACAACCACCTTGATATTGCCTGCCTGGATGACTCCTGGTTTGTTCAGCGAGTGAACGAGCTCTTTAAAGCTTGTGTGCTTCCGCCATCGACACCGCGTTCAAAGGGCGCCGCAAACCCGTGTAATCTCATGACCGACGCATATGCAATAATCTACAGGTACTGCCGCGAGATTGATAGCCAGGAGAACTGTTCCGCCACCCAGCAGTTAGAGCGCCTCCTTGATGATCGCCAGGCTACAGCCAAGCACCCAGATGAAGCGCAGCGTGTCCAGCTACGCGCCAAGCACGATCTCAAGATAGAGGAATGCTTGGAGAAAGCAACACATAGTGCGCGCCTGAAAGCTGCGGCGACTCGACTTTTCAGCGGCAACCGGCCAAGAGGGCGGTCCACCAACATCTATCAGACCAGCGTGATATTCGCCCTGCGACGCGTCGACAGTAGCCCCTCGGATATTGTGCACACACCCGGAGAGATGCAGATAGCCGCACATGCCTTTTACAGGGACCTCTACAAGGCGTCGCACCCGCCGGAGGCTGCACGGAAGCACCTGCTCCAGCTGCACCGCAACTACCTTTGCACAAGTTTCAAGGAGCCGATCAATTGCTCGGTTATGAACGCAGTTGGCTACGAGATATCCCAGGGGGAGATTGATGAAGCGTGCGAGCTCGCCAGCCAAGAAAAGGCGCCTGGGCCGAACGGAATACCCGCCGAACTGTTTCTGCGCAGCGAGCAGGCACGGATAGCGCTGCGTAATCTGGCCAACCAGCTTCTTCAGGACCCTAAGTTGGTAACGGCCGCGCTCACTGCTGGGCGGATCGTTATATCGTACAAGAACGATGGCGACCCAAAGTCGCTCACATCTTACCGGACAACATCGCTGCTCAACGCGGACCTCGAGATTATTAAAAGCGTCTTGGCAAAGCGCATCAGCCATGCCGTAGCCCGTCATATCTCGCCCGAGCAGTCGGCAATAATCGCAGGGCGGTCGATAGACGACAGCATTAACACTGTACATGTGATGCACCACTACCTTGCGACAACAACAACGACGAAGACGAAGACAAAGACAAAGCATCCGGGCCTGCTTCTTTTTCTTAGCGATGTGAATGCGCACGGCCGCATATCCCGTGAAATGATCTTCTCGGTACTGGATAACTTTGGCATTCCATCGAACGTAATTGCGCTGATCCGTGCGCTGTACGACACAGCACAGTCGGATGTCCTTGTG